GGACAGCCTTTGCTCTGGATACATTTGCTTGGGACATGACCAATTCTATGTCTTTAACTTCCACACCTGTTTCGTCAACCTGGGGATGAGAAAGAAAACTTAAGACTATAACCATGGGCAAGACAGAACCTGGTTCAAGAAACTTCTGGGCTACCAGACAGATCCAATACCAAGCTCCTCACTAGCAGTTAATATTAGTTAACTGGAATAGTAAGCTGTCAGTAATGCCAAATGATACCAGCTCTTCACATAATTTGAGAATAATTAAGGCTAAAAAATATCACACATGGAGAACAAGAAGGGACTTTAGAGGTCATCTCGTCCCCATCCCCCCCATCTTCCCCCTCCATTTTACAAATAAAGAAACTGAGGCCCAGAGAGGTTAAAGGGCCTGTCAGGCTCTATGAGCTGTGACACTGGGAAAGGACTTCTGAGAATCATCACCACCACTTAGGACAAAGCAGCTTATCAAGTAATCATTACAAAAACACTGTTCTTCCCCCCTCCCCAGTTATACCTCCTCCTCTTCACTTTCTTCTTGTACAGTTGGAGTCTGTGTATTTTCCTGGATGTTTGAAACAGCTTCACCCTGTACTTTGAATTTTTCAGCAGCAGCTAGCTGTGCCTGCTGAGAGAGATCCTCAATCTGCAAAATGAGAAAACATAGGCTGAGAAGATTATCAGTCTAGATCAGCCAGGGGATCCTAGACAAGCCCAAGTGCCAGCTCTAGATTGCTTGCCCAACCCCATAATTCTGGTGCCATAGGAGAGAACAACTTCAAAACCTCTGGCTCAGTCATGGAGCCCAGCTCACCTTGGCTTCCCCAAAGACTATATAGGTATCTGAGGCTGGGCTCTTGTAGACATCTGGCTTTGTGATGACAAACAGGATGTTCTTAGATTTCCGGATGGTGACTCTAGTAACCCCTGTCACTTGTCGAAGTCCCAGTTTGGACATAGCCTGCAAAGTGAGAGGAAATAAATGGAAACCAAAATTCCCAGCTCAAAAAAGGAGCTTTGGGTGTGACACATATGAGAAACCTAATATCCAAGATAAAACCCACCTCCTCAGCTCAAAAGACCTTGCTAACTGCTGAGAAGGAAAGGTCTGCCAGGATCTCTGGATTCTTTGGTTACCTCTGCTCTACAAGAGGCTAATTGTTTTTAATGTTAGAATGTTAGAGACGGAGAAGAGAAATACCCCACATCAGCTTTGCTAATATCATTCTCCAAAATCATTTCAAAAAAGCCCTTATTCCCTTCCTTTTGGCTCCTTCATACCTTTCGTGCTTTCTTTTCACTTCGACTCTGTTTTGCTTTACTGACTGGTTCCTCATCGATCTCAGCAGCTGCTGCCAGCTGGTGAAAGAAAAGTAAGATTTAAGTCAACTCCACCAGAGTCCTAGCAGGCACATATCCCCCCCTCACGGATGGTCAGTGTTTTCTCAGTCTCCTTTTCCAACAGAGCTCTCTGAGATTAATTCTACAATGACCCTTTTCTTCCAAGAGGGAATTTTTTCCCCCCTAAATTAAGTTTTTATTGATATTTTCAGTTTCTTACATCACAATAGTATCCTATGTAGCCCTCCAATCCCAGAGAGCTACGCCATAAGAAAAGTAGCATTTTTTTGGAGAGGAAAAAAAGCCAGCACAACTGACTGATATAAAAGATGTTCACTGTGTAACACCCATGGACCTCCCACCCCTATGATGGAGTGAGTTGGGGGGTTGTCCTCTCAAATCTCTTCATTCAAGTCCTGCATGATCTTTATAATTTCATTATTTACTTTTGATTTTTTTGGTGTGTAGTTGTTCTTTGAATTTATTTTGCTGTGATTAATGTGTATGTTGGCTTCTTGGCTCTGCTTTAGTTCATATAGATTTTGCCACACTTTTCTGTATTCATCACATACATCATTTAGCATTCCATTATACTTATGTACCACAATTGATTTAGCCATTCCCTGGCCAATGGGCACCTACTATGACTCCAATTCTTAGGTATCACAAAAAAAGTGCTGTTATAAATATTCTGGAGTTTATGGGGACTTTTTCCTTCCATGGTATACAAGCTCAGTACTAGAGTTTCTTGTTCAAAGGGCATGGACATTTTAGTCATTTGATTTCCATCATTTCAAACTGGTTTCCCAAATGGCAGTACCATTTCACAGCTTCACCAACACTATATTGTGCTGCCCCATCTTTCCATAACCCCTCCAACACTGACCATGTGACCTTTGATCACTACCAAGACAGAACTTTTAAGTGAAATGTGCTTACCTGGGCCTGTTGCGTGGTTGCCTGTGTAGAATCCTGTTCCTCAAGCTCTGGTACTGATTCATCACTGTCAGATTCTGTTCCAGACCCTGTGAAGACAAAAAAAATCTTTATTTTCTAATAGTTATTTTGAAGAAGGTACCTGAAGAGGAGGTAGGGGGTGGAGGTAGCAGAAGCCACTTACCATACCCCATAGACAAGCATATCATGCTGTTTCTTTTGTTAGAAGCTGACTCCAAATGAGAGGATTTCTAGGAAGACAGCTAGGCCAGTCCCAACATAATGGTTACTGAGGGTGTGCACACACAATTTTATACATAAAGGATGCAACCCCAAAGATGAAGGCAATATGAGAGATGCAACCAATGATTGCTTTCCACCGTTTTAGATTCCTCACTTTTTAGCAAAGCCCACTTTATGTTGGTTTGTTCAACTCCAACCTCACCACACCCCTCCAACTATCCTGGAACAAGTTTTGCAAGCAAGATATAACCAGTGACCAAGTGACACATGTGAAGCAAATTTAGTCTAGCTATAAAGTAGGGGGAGGGGGGAGTTGCGAGCGCACAAGCCAGGCAGGGCATTTCCTCCCTCTCTTCAAATAGGCAAGGAGCCATAAATAGCTGGTACAGGAGTTTGACAACTTTAAAACAGCTTTCCCCTAGAAGTTTGTACTTGATTAATTAAAATTTCCCAGCAATGCCAAATTACAGCCTGATTAGCAACACCTTCACTAATATTTTAAAGTTTAAAATTTTTCCAACTAAAAGGTAAGCATGATTAAAAACCACTGAAGAGCAAATCTGCTGTACCATCTCACAGAGGGAAAGATAATACAGACATAAAGTCCTATTTCTAATATAGATTTATAAGAGTCCCTGGGCCTTAAGTCATTTGACAAATCTTAATGTGACAGGAAAGAAAATCAAGGCACCTAGAGACCCCAAACTCTATCATACGATTCTAGGCCCAGGGACATGGTTAGTGATATGGGTAGAGATTAAAGCAAATGACAGTGCAGTGGGTCTTGGTTTTCAAAGTCAGACTAGGTAGGCAGGGAAAGGAGTTGATGGGAGACTCAAGAGTCTAGTTTAGTGACCATACCACATGAAGTTGCATGGGGCAAGTCCGAGGTGATGAAAACCAAGAACCCACACCATTTCCCCAAAGTCTTTGCACTTTAAAATACCATTCTATGATCTATGTTCAAACACAAGCAAGGACAGGGGAGAGTGGAGAATCCTAAGGTTAGTATTGGTGGGTGGCCCTGAGAAGGGTGCGGGCGACACACCATGCACACAGCAAACCAAGGCGAATACCCTTGTTGTTCTTCAAAACAGGCTGCTTGGCAGGAGGGATTGGGGCAGGGACCCCAGTAGGTTTGGGGGTGGGCATGTCCACCAGGACCGGCTGGAAAGGCACTCCCCCTGAGGGTGGTTCCGGGGGGATCAGAGGCGGCAGCTCGTCCTCATCAGCTGGGGCTTGGGGCTTACAGGGTGCTTCAGGCACCAGCCCAGGTGAGGACGGCAGAAGAGGCTGCTGTTTAGGGAGCAAAGGAGGAGGGACTGGGGAGGGAACAAGAAGCAAAGAAACTGGTGGGATGGGAGTGGGAGACAGAGAAGCTGACTCAGCCTTGATAAGGTTGGATTCAGGGGCAGCAGCTACTGAGGGAGAGGATGGGGCAGGAGTAGGCAATGTGAGATCCTTTGAAGAGGAAGCAGGCCCTTCCTCCTTTTCAGTAATAAGCAGACCTTCAGAAGCCTGGGGAGCACCTTTTTGGCCTAGAGGGGCTCCTGCAGTACCAATCTTAGTTGAGACAGCAGGGGAAGCTGCTGGGGAAATAGGAGTCCTAAGGGGTGAAGTAGCATGACCCTTCTTGGCTGACGGGCCTTTTGGAGTTGGGACAATAGGTGTACTCTTGGGAGCTGTATGGGCAGAAGAACCCTTCTTGTTTGGGGGCCCTTTAGGAGCTTGAGAGACACTGGCTTCCAAAGGTGAGACCACTTCAGAAGTGTGATTAGTGGTCCCTTTATGGGTTACAGTCAATACTGTGGAAGAAGTTGATTTGGGAGGTGGAGTTCTATCTGACAAAGCAGGAGCCTCTTTGTGAGCTAAGTCAGGTGGACCAGCAGAACCCTTTTTGGGTAGGGACCTTTTAGAAGTTTGAGGAGAGACAGCTACCCCTTTAGGGGATGGAGAAGTAGCAGCTGGGGGAGTGGGGGCACCTTTAGCTGCTGCTGCAGAAGTAGCAGAGACCTTCTTGGCTGGGGGCCCTTTAGGAGACTGAGGAGAGACAGTGGCCTCCAAAGGTGAGGAATCAGAAGGGACTTTGGGGGACAGAGAAGTAGCAGCTGGGGGAGCAGGGGGACCTTTAGCTGCTGCAGAAGTAGTAGCAGAGCCCTTCTTGGCTGGGGGCCCTTTAGGAGACTGAGGAGAAACAGTGGCCTCCAAAGGTGAAGAATCAGAAGTGACTTTGGGAGACAGAGAAGCAGCAGCTGCAGAAGTAGCAGAGCCCTTCTTGGCTGGGGGCCCTTTAGGAGACTGAGGAGACACAGTGGCTTCCAAAGGTGAAGAATCAGAAGTGACTTTGGGGGACAGAGAAGTAGCAGCTGGGGGAGTGGGGGCACCTTTAGCTGCTGCAGGGGAAGTAGCAGAGCCCTTCTTGGCTGGGGGCCCTTTAGGAGACTGAGGAGATACAATGGCCTCTAAAGGAGAAGAATCAGAAGGGACTTTGGGGGACAGAGAAGTAGTAGAGTCCTTCTTGGCTGGGGGTCCTTTAGGAACTTGAGGAGAGACAGTGACCTCCAAAGGAGAGGTAGTTATAGCCGAAGTGGAGGCCCCTTTGGGAGATGAAGGAACAACTGATGGAGTAGTGGGGGCCTCTTTGGAGGATGGAGAAGGCACAGCTGGTGGAACAGGGACCTCTTTGGGGGCTGGAGGCATAGCTGGTGTAGTGAGGGCCTCTTTGGGGGATGGTGGAGCTGCAGCTGACATAACAGTGGGGACTTCTTTGGGGGCGGGAGACATTGCAGCTGGGACCTCTTTGGGGCTGGAGGCATAGTTGGTGAAGTAAGGGCTTTTTTGGGGGATGGTGGCATTGCAGCTGGTAGGGTAGTGGGGACTTCTTTGGGGGCTGGAGGCATTGCAGATGGGACCTCTTTGGGGGCTGGAGACATTGCTGGTGGAGTGAGGGCTTTTTTGGGGGACGGTGGCATTGCAGCTGGTGGGGTAGTGGGGGCCCTGTTGAGGGAAAGCGGAGCTGGAGCTGCAGCTGTTGGAGCAGTAGGGGCTCCTTTGGGGGTTGGAGAAAGCACAGCTGGAGTAGTGGGGACGTCTTTAGGGGCTGAAGGAGGCAGAGCTGGCAAAGTAGTGGAGGCCCTTTTGGGAGATGGTGGAGTAGGGCCCCCTTTGTGGGGGAGAGTCACAAGTGGGGATGTAGGTGACCCTTTAGGAGATGGAGTGGCTGAGGCCAGATCAAAGGCAAGGGGGGATCTGTTAGGAATGACAGTGGCCTCTAAAGGAGAGGTGGCTACTCCTGGGGAATCAGAAGTCTCTTTGGGGGACGGAGTTATAGTGTCGGGCAAAACAGATGGAACTGGTGCACTTTGGGGAGTAAAAGAAGCTAGAGTTAAGGAAGCAGGGACTGTTGCAGAACTTGCCTTATCTGGGAGCACCTCTGGAATTTGGGGAGTGACAGAAGCCCCCAAAGGAGAAATAGCTACAGTTGAGGAAATATGGGGACTTTCAGGAGACACAGGACCCTCTCTAGCCATATGGCCTTTAGGAGATGCAGAAGAGAGAGCAAACTCCAAAGGGGAGAGAGTTGCAGCTGGAGTACTGGTGGTTTCTTTGGGAGCTACAGGGGAAAGAGTGAGTGGAGTAGCAGGATTTTTCTTTGTTGAGGAGTCCATCTGAGCTGAAGAGAAAAGGAGCCCCTGAGGAGAGGGGAATACAGCTGGGGTGGTGGGGCAGCCTTTGAGGGCTAGACTAACAGAGCTGGGGGGGCTATCAGGGACTACAAGAGGAGAGGCTGAAGGAGAGGGAGTAGAAAGATCTATTTTGGCTTTTGGGACTTTTGGAGTGCTAGAGACCTCTAGAGTAGAATTGCCTGCATTTGCGGTTGGAGAAGTTAATACTGTCAGAGAGGGGACTGTAGCAGGAAGAGGGGATCCCATAAGATCTTTTTTTGCTGGGGTGGTTTCCGGAGATGGAGAACCTGGTGAGGACTTCAAAGAACAAGCTGAGGGATTTTCGGGAGCCACATGGTCCAAAGGTAGGGTAATAGGTATCTTCTTGGTTGGAGAATCTGTTTGGATTGGAGTAGAGACTCCAAGAGGAGACACAGGGACAACCTGGGAATCTCTGAGATCTTTCAGAGGTGGAGAGAGAGGGGTCTTAAGAGAAGGGGCCGAAACCTGGACAACAGAAGGATCCTTGGGAACTATAGGGGACAGGGGTAAGGCTGTGGGGGGAACAGCATGATCCTTCTTGGACTTGGAGTCTGCTGAATCAGAAGGAATAAAAGGGCTACCCAGTGGACAGCTGCCTCCCTCAAGGGAAATGGGTACAGTAGCAGTTACAGTAGGGGGAGCCAGTATGGCAACTTGGGTGGTTGCTACAACTGGAGTAGGGGTTCCTTTTAGGGATGGACTCCCAAGGGGAGGAGCTTTGGGTCCTAAAGATAGAACAGGTGGAGACAAAGGGTAAGTAGGGGGAAGTGGCAGAGAAGTGGCAACAGATGGTCCAGAAGACAATTTAGGGGCTATGCTTATGTCAGAGGTATCTTTCTGAACAGGTGGTATCAATAAGGAAAATGGACTCCCTATAGGTGAACTGGACACTACAGGAGAAACTAGAGGGTCTTTTGGAAATAAAGCTATAGGGGATCCTAGGGTTGTAGAGGAGGTTGAAGACCCTTGGGAAGAAATACCTAGAGGAATGGTGATTGGAGCAGGGCTTTTAGGTTTTGAGAAATTATCAGAGCCTATTTGAGCTGCAGCTCCAGAGCTGGGAGAAACAATATGTTTGGCATGTGAGAGAGGAGGGTCTAAAAGAGGAGTGAAGGCAGCAGAGGGGGCTTTTGGAGCCATGGTTATTGGAGAAGGGGGGGCCATAGGAGCAGTCTGGATTGAAACAGGTAAGGCAGGGGCTGTCTGGAGAATGGTGTTTGACTCAGAAGCTAGAGGAGTTCCAAGATGTAGTGGGAGAGCAGTGACTACATCTGGAGGGGTGGAAGTGCCTTTCAAGTCAGCAGATTCCTGAGGGGTAACTGTGGCAGAAGTGGAAGCCACTTTTGGGATTGGAGATGTAGGATTAGTAGGAGTCAGCAGAGATGTGATTGCCCCAGGTGTAGTTGGGTTCACTGGACTGGGTGAAGCATCCAGGCTCTTTTGAGCAGAGGAGGGGGCCAGGGCCACCAGAGACAAAGGAGCTGAAGAGGAAGGGGCACCTTTCAGAGCTGGGGAAATCATAGGGTGAAGCCAGAGCTAGGGCAGCTGGGGAGATGGGAGGTCCTATAAGATCTGGGAGAAAGGCCGGTGTAGCCATAGGGGAAGATGGTGGCAAAGTATAAGTGTCTGCAGCTTGGGGAGGACCAGCCCCTAGAGGCAGGGTTGCCAAAAGGGATGCTTGGGAGAAGGGTGCTACAGAAGGAACAGAGAATGGGGAGGGTGGGTCAGGTGTACTTGGTGGACAAAGGTGCTGGGGAATGGTAGAGAAAGAAGAGAGGGGAGGAGGGGGGAGGGGAGGAACAGGTCCAGGCTGTGCCAAAGCAGCGCTAAAAGACACAGGGGGCATAGCTGGAAGGAAGAGAGAATAAAAGAGGGAAGGGAAAGGAAAAAACAAAGGTGAGTTATCCAATCCCATTCAGTGAAACATGCCTCACAGAAAATACTTTTTGTTTTACTTGAATATGAAAGTCACATCACATGAAAGCTCATTTAGAAGGGAGCAACACATATCACCAACTAACTTTCTCCAAAAATAAAGCACCACAACAGTTTCCCATAAGGATTTTGTCAAGTTCCTACAACAGAAATATTAAGTCTCAGGGGAAGGAAGAGCACCTGAAAAGTGGTTTTACAAAGTATGGGCATGTTGGGACCCTACAGTTCCGGATGCCCTCTATTTCCCACTTCTAAGGGCCCTTGCACAAAAAAAGCCCCCTTTCCTACCAGCACATTCTTTCATACTGCCTACCCAAGGATCACAAACTAACAAAATCATGTTCATGTACCTGCTACTTGATGTTGACATGAAGAATGAGCAAGAAACAATTCAGTATAAATCCAAGGACATCATCAGATCAGAACCACACTCTGACCCACCACAAGGCAGATCCCTTTGAGTCAGCAAAACAGGAAGTTTAAAATCCTCTCTACTCTCAATTCAATGCAGAGGAGTGTGGCACTACTGAAAGAACACTGGAATGGGAGCCTAGGGTTCTAATTGACTGGTACCATATGATCCTGGAAAAATAACCAGGTTTTTTTTGGCCAATATCTTCCTTTGCAGAACACAAAAAAGGTGGACTATATAATCCTTTATGGCCCTCTTCCATCTCTAGGATTCTGTACTTAAGAGGCAAATGTGCTGGGAAGGAGGAAAAAAAAAAGATATATGCCTTCATTTGGCAATGTTAGCTCTTCAGAGGTATGAAGATTAATCAGACTTTAAAGGGGTTTAATCTTAGTCATAAGGGTGTAGGCTGTCATATAGCTTTGGCTCAACTTGTCCAACCAGACAGACTTCAGTTTGGAACTAGGATAGGATACAGAAAAGGGGTGGGAGTGAGGGCGCACAAGATTTAGAGTGGAAAGGGAACTGTGTATCCCCTAAATAATCATTTGAAGCTCTCCAGCCTTGAAATGAGGAAAGGAAGGTTAACATCAGGGACAAAGTAAGGCTCAGTCAAGGGGTTCCTCTGAATATTGGACTAGCACGAGTATTCACAGGGAAGTATAAAACTGGATTAACAAGTGATAATCAGTTTACCCCACATACGTATATTCAACTCAACCCAAAAGTTTCTATACAAAAACAGAAGGTTTCAACTAGTCCTCTCTGGAAAACTTGTAGTTCAAAGCTTACAGGCTTATAATTGAGATATGTGCATGTCCAATAGGAATGCAAGACAGAAACCCAAAACAAGAAAATGCCCCAACTCCTGCTTTAGCTTGAAATCCGACCAGTAATACTGTCTCTGGATACTTGTGTTATTCACTTCAGTGATTGCGCCTACACTGTTTAGTCATACAAAGTCACAGCCCACAAATCACTGGCACCCCTCAACACTGAAAACCTATTGTTCCAACTCAAGTCTCTTCACGTTAGAATTAAGGCTTGTCAAGAACAATAACAACTGGGATAGAAAATCCTGGCCATGGGCAAGAAAACTAGAAGCCAGTTTTCTCTCTCAATGAATGGGAGTCAGAGTAACTAAAAATTTGAGGAACACTCAGATTTCAGAAGTGCCTTGGACTCCATCATATGCTTCTATAGTGATATTTAAAGGCCAGTAGAAAATTGTATTAGATTGATTCTTCTGAGAAACACTGAAATCACTTTAACTTTTCACAAGCCTTCCCTGTCCTGTTCCAACCAAGAACCCTGCTTTTCTTCCATGGCATAGTGGCAGCTGCATTTAATCCCTTCAGCTGCTAAAAGTCAAACTGGAGGAGAGGGAGAACTTTACCATACCCCCAAAGAGCTCATTGTGTAAGACACTATTGGCTAGAGTACCATATGACCATTTTTTAACCAAAAAATAAAGGCTCGTTGTAAATCGAAGAATCTGAAGTAGAGATAATAAGTTGCAGGCATGAGAAGCAGGATGAACTTCACTCAGCCTAATCACAAACCACTCATTCCAATTTCTTTAGCCTTCACCTCCCATACAGCACCTCACCTGTCTTTACAGACTGAAAAGTAAAGAAAAAAGCAACTTTATCGGGCTCATTAGATATCAGGTCCCAAAGTTTCATTAGGTAACACCTGCAGAAAATGTTGCTGCAACACAATTAAAACCGATTCACAGCACTAATCCCAGCACACCTCATCCCAGGGGAGAATTCCAAGGCCCACTAGGGCTCTCTCACCATTTGTGAGCATCTAATCCAGACATGTGACGGAAGGCACAATGCCAAATGACATCTAAAACCTTGATGCAACTTCCTGGCTGGAGCTTCACCCGAGCTCCGGGTCTCTTCAGCCAGTCTGTGTGTCGGCCACTTCCAGCAGGGGGAGAATCTCTGGAACCTGCTCAATATCCTTGTGGGGGAGGAGTCACAACAGCTCCTTTTTCGGAAACAGAGGTAACCCACAAAAATAGTCCCATCGGGGGAACTGAGAACTTTAATAAAAGTGATGCTCAAGAAACTACCCTCACTCCATCAACTAGATCTGTCAAAAAGTCAGGCTACATCAGACAGCCGTGTTGCTCCCTCCACCCGCACCGCCCCCTCTTTGCCACTTGACCCCCTAAGACTGTTCAGTCAATCAACCTTATAGTGAACCCACCGGGTGGACCTACCTGTCTCAGCCTGGGGCTGTGGCAACTCTTGCTCTGTGGCTGGGACGGTTTCTGTCGCTTCGCCAGGCATTTCTGGGGGGGAGAGGAGACCTCGAATTACCAGAGAACCCCTCCCTCGGCTGCCCCCGCTGTCCGCCGAGTCCCACTCGGGGCCAGTACCGACCGAGCGCGAGGTCCGGGCCCCAAAGCGGCCCGCGAGGATCGGGGGCAAGCCGCGACTCCCATCAACGTCTCGGGGGCCGACCCACAGGTCCGCGGCTGCTCCGTGACCCGCCCGGCCGCCAGCCCCCTGCTCCCACGGCGCCTCAACGGCCGAGCTGCACACGCCGTGGGGGGTGGGGGCGGGGACGGCTCTCGCTCTGAAGCCTCTTCTCCCCCTCCCGCCCCCCCTAGCCGGACGAAGGCCTTGCAGACCCCATTTCGTCTGGGAGCCTCGGGCTAGCCTCCCTCCCGCAGTCCCCCGCGTCCCGAGGGACTCCGCCGGGCTCCCGGTTCTCCTTAGCTCCGTTCCCAGTGGCAGAGGGGGAAGCCTGGCTCTCGAGGGAAGCGGATGGCGGCGGATAGAGAGCGGCGGGAGAGGCGGCACTTACTGTGAGAGGAACACGGATCCAAGATGGCTGCAGAAAGAGATCTGGAGTGAGCGTGACCGGCCCCTGCTGCGGCGGAAGCTAAGCGTGAGAAGGGGCGGGGCAAGCGCGTGCGCTTCCGGTTCAGAAGCGTCTAGCCGGGGAAGCGCCTGACCAGGGAGTGGCTTCTAGCTGGGGCTGTCATTCTGTTCTTGGTCCATGCATATTTATTAAGCGCCTGCCATGTACCGGGCGCTGTGCTAAGCCTTGGTGATATAGAAGGAGGGGTCATAGACAGGCCCTCGCAGTCTAATGGTGGCGGCAACATGCAAACACAACTATGTACAAATAAGTCACACTTAAAAAAAATTGGACTTAACAAGGAAAGCATTGGAATTAAGAGGGATTGGGGAAGGTTCCTGTGGAAGGTGGGATTTTAGCTGGGACTTGCAGGAAGCCAGGGAGATCAGTTGTCCGAGTAGGGGAGGGAGAGCGCTGCAGGCGTCGGGGACAGCCAGAGAAAGTGTCAGGAGTCTGGGAGATGGAGTTTCTTAATCAAAGAACAGCCATAGAATAGAAGGGGTGTGTATGGGGATGGGAAGGTGGAGGGTGGTGTAAGATATAATAAAACTGGAAAGGAATGAGGGGTCTAGGTCGTGAAGGGCTTTGAATACAGAAACAGAACATTTTGTGTTTGCTTTTGGAGACAATAGGAAGCCACTGGAGTACACTGGAGTAGGGGGTGTATGTGTGTGTGACATCATCAATCCTGCACTTTAGGAAAATCACTTTACTGTCTGAATGGAGGATGGATTGGAGTAGGGAGAACCTTGAGGCAGGCAAACCCACTAGCAGGCTATTGCAATAGTACTGGAGTAAGGTGATGAGAGCCTGCTGGAAAGTGGTAGCAGTGTCAGAAAAGGAGAGATGTGGCAAAGGTGAAATCAGCAGTCCTTGGTAACAGATTGGATAGAGGGGGTTAGAGATAGTGAGGAGTTGAGGATGATTCCTAGGTTTCCAGCCTGGTGGTGCCCTTGCCCATAATAGGGAAGTTTAAAAGGGAAAAAAGTTGGGAAAAAAGAGAAGTTCAGCTTCGGACATGTTGAGTTTGAGATGTTTACTGGACATCCACTTCAAGATATCTCATGGGCAATTGGAGATGTGAGACTGTGAAGACAGGTTAGTGCTAAAGAACTAGATTTGAAAATCATCAACATAGAGATAATTAAATCCATAGAAGCTGATAAGATCACCAAGTTAAATAATACAGAGGGAGGAAAAAATAGGGGCCAAGCCTTGAGGGACACACCCACAGTTAGAAGGTATGACCAGGATGAAGGAGACCGAGGAGCAGTCAGATAGATAGGAGAACTGGTACGAAGTAGCATCATGAAAACCTAGAGAGAACTTATCAAGTAGAAAAGAGTGGTCCACATTATTAAAGGCTGCAAAAAGGTCAATAAGGATGGGGATTGAGAAAAGACCATTAGATTGGACAACTAAGACATTGTTAGTACCTTGGAAGAGAGCAGTTTCAGTTGAATGATGAGTTAGAAAGGTTGGAAGTAGATAATAGAACGAGAGGAAAGGAAGTGGAGGCACTGACCATAGACAGCCTTAACAAGGAATTTAGTTCCCAGAGGGAAGAAAGCTAGAGAATGGTGGTTGACAGTCATGGATAGATCAAGTGAGGGTTTTTTGACGATGAGGGAGATATGGACATGTTATGGATGTGTTTGTAGGCAGGAGGGAAGAAGCCAAGGTGAGAGTGGCATGCAATGACAGAAGGAGTCATCTGCTAGAGAAGACAGGATGGAATGGGATCAAAGGGGCTTGTCCTGGCAAGCAGAAAGGCTCCCTCTTCCTGTGAGACAGGGATGAGGGAGGAGATAGTGACACCAAGAATTTGAGTGATATGACATGAGGAACAGGGGAGGAGGGAGCAATTTCTTTTTCAGTGAAATATGAGGGGAGAGGCAGAGTTCTGGAAGATCTGAAGAAGGGATGAGAGTTTGGAAAAGCCTCTGTGGTGAATAGGATAGTGAGTCAATTAGGGAAGTTTGAAAGGATTACTTCACACAGTGAGGACCCAGTTGAGATTACATAAATTTATAGTTAATCCAGTTAGCAAGGATACTGGTAGCGTGGCTTGTGAGTATAAGAGGGTAGCTCTTTGATAAGGCTGCCAAAAACTACTCCTCTTCAAATAAGCAGATTTTCTGCCCACTGCAGTCCCTCGTACTCTCTCACTTCCCCTTGGCTTTTGGAAACAGTAAATATTGTAGGGAAGGCCAGTCTTGACCCTATCTCCCTTGATGGACAGAAACAATATTCTTTCTTCCTTAACCTAGAAGGATGGCAGTCTCCACCCTGTAATGCTTCTTAATGATTGAGTATTATGTTCCAGTGGCATATTTGCTAGGTAGCATTATGTGACTTTAAGGTTTTGCAAAACTTTATTATCCCTTTATAGATGAGGAGATTGAGAGATAAAATTACTTGCCCTAGGGTCACACAGCTAGTAAGAATCTGAGGCAAGATTTGAACTCAGCCTTCCTAACTTCAAATCCACTATACCACCCATTAGCCACAATTTTTGATGCTCTTGTTTGCTATAGAGGCCTCAAATGTTAAGGAAACAAGTCATAATTCTTTTTTATATATAAATTTGTATTACTGGGAAAAAAACAACAAATATGTGGATAATCTTACCCTGATAGGTGGCAGGGACTGTTTCTACCTTTGTATTATACCCAGTACTTTCTTAGTGAGATGTTAAACCATATCATGATTGCTAAATGTTTATTGAATAAATGAATCCTCTGTAAATGTGGGTATTCCTTCTCTTGGTATTGAAAGCAACAAGTATCTCCTCCCACTCCCCTTCTCCAAACACACCCACTCTGCTTGTTTGAAGCCAGGCCTGACTTGGGCCAGGATTAGAATGAAATAACCAGGAAGCTACATCTAGCACCTTAGAGCCCTAGTGCCCTGGGCCAATTAAGTCGTGTGTGTGTGTGTGGGGGGGGCAATTGGGGTTAAGTGACTTGCCTAGGGTCACACAGCTAGTAAGTTTCAAGTGTCTGAGGCCGGATTTGAACTCAGGTCCTCCTGGACCTGAGGCTAGAGCTCTATCTACTGCCTAGCTACCCCCTAATTAAGTCTTGAGGACAGTTTCATTGTCTTTTTGGGAAAAAGACTAATCTATGTGACCTTCCATTTTTACTGCCATGGGTCCCAAGTACATGTTGCTCCTATTACACCTATCCATCTGTATGCTGTAATCCAGTTAATGCGCAGTATTTTGCATTCTCTTTGTTTTTGCAGTGTGAATGGTTAGACAAATACCTTTTGATCAATTACAGTCTCATTAAAGTGACTTTGTGTTCCTAGGGCCTGTGACATTGCAAGGTAACTTTTAATCTCACTACTCAACTGAATCTGCTTTCTCATAAGAACAAGAGCCATTCCCCAATAATATGTCTTCAAAGGATAGGAATAGACAGCTTTTAAATGAAATTGCAAATCACTTTTCATAACCACCTGTGAAGTAGTTTAAGTATTAGTCTCATTCTATCAGAGGCTCAGGGACGTTAAGTAATTTTTGGTCATGGTCACAGTCTGCAAGCAGCTGAGATGAAAAAAATAATCCAAGACTTCTGATTCCAAATCCATGGCTCTTTCCACTGTGCCAGATTCCAGTTTACTTTCTCTGAGCATATGCCAGCAATGTAAGATAGACCCTAAACTAGAGTAATGGTAACTAATTTGGGATTAATGATTTATTTATTCATGAAGTAGACTAATCCACAGGAAGATGAGTTATCTCATTTTGAAATGGAAGAGATCTTAGACATCATATGGTCTCCTAGAGGGCTGCCCACATCAATGAAAATATAGACCCTCGAAATAGTATAGAATACTGCCCCCATTCTTCAGGTAAGGAAATAAAGACCCAGGGAAATTAAGTTTGTTTTAGTTAACACAGAGTGATCTGAAATTGGAGGGAAAAGAGCCAGTACTCCTAATAGTCCATAAACCACAAGTTATCCAGAGCCCAGAAAGGGTTTCCATAGTTTGAATTATTTTGAATTCAAGAAAATGAAATAAAAATAATACTTGTTATATGTTTTGTACTTATAAACAGTGGTGGTCAGGAGGACAAGCACTTGTGGTGTGAACCTTGCTAAAATCTTTTCAGGGCTGCTCATCCACATTTGGTGTTTACCTGATTCACCCAATTCTCACCTGTGGCTCCAAGAAGCTGTAACATGCATAGTGGCCACACATTGGTAAACTGTCTCAGCCTGTGCTAAACCAGGTTGAGGGTAACTGACAAGTCTCAAACCTGTTGGTGAGTGAGGGGGTAGCTATCCCAAGCATGTG